CTTACGGGAGGACCAGTAGTAGTAATGTGATGAAGTACGTGATGAAAAGTGTTTTCCTTCCGATAGTCAACCTTGGTGATGCTATCATATTTAGTTAAGAGGTCAGCGAAAGGTTGATTAATAGGCTTAATTAAACGTACTCCATGAATTTCGTAAATGTTATTAGTTGTGCCGTTTACGTGTAGACGTGTCTGATTGTCGACTAGTCGTTTGGCACGCACATCTACTAGCAGATTATAGGCAGTAAGGAAGTCTGCTCCCAGGATAGGCTGTTTGACTTGTGCTACTACAAAGACCCATGTGAAACGTCGTCTGAGGCCAAGGTCGAGTATAAGGGATTGTTCCCCATAAGTTTGGATGATTGTTTCATTCGCTGCCTGGAGTGTTATTTTGCTGTGGGTGATGTGTTGCCGTCGTGAGAGGTAGAGAGGGATAATGCTTATTTCGGCTCCTGTATCGACTAAGAAGTCTGAGCCCGAAATTCTGTCCCTGATGTGAAACAGACGGCTAGTAGCATGGCCAGAAGCAGTTGCCGCCATCACTGTCTGGCTGGCCAGTTTCCCTGTGATTCTTGACTGCTTGCAGGGAAAGTGCACGGCTTTAGGCAGCGACGAGCTTTGTCACCATACTTTTGATGGTACCAACAAACGCCAGTTGGCCTTTTCGGAGATCTAGAGCGATGTCGGGATCTTGACCTTCTTCCAGGAAAAAATGAGGTTGGTTTCGTGTTAATCATAGCTATTGAGGCTCGTAGTGAATCAATCTGGTTTGTGAGCTGAGCTATTTGCTGTTGTTGAAGGCTAATAACATTATGCCCATTATCTTTACTGGTAGTTTGTACAGAATTAACAACTTGGCCATCTGGATAGATTTCAGCTATTTTATCAGCCATGTCGGCTAACTCGGTCAGATTGGCTGAATTAATAGTTACCATAAGAATCTGTCTGACATTGTGAGGTAGCCGTTGAAGCCAAAGTTGTTTGAGTATATTCTCGTCTAACTTATAAGGGCCAGACAACCCTTTCATGTATCTTAGTAATTGGGATGGCTTTTTATCGCCCAACTCATAGGAGGTTAACAAATGTTGTAGTCTTTGTTCGCCTGACGCAGATGTATATTGAAATATATCGATTAAATGTAATAAATACAATCACAAAATGTAAGGACGTTACTTTATACGGCTGCTTGTGCGTGTTCGTATGTGATTGGTACTAAAAAATGCACAATTATAGAAGATCAGTAATACAATTAATGTAAATATCCGTAAGGTAGTTTATACGTATGACTGTAGTCTATAAATGTAGACAATATACGTATTAGAATCCGATTAGCATATTGATGAACGAATGAGAACATAAGTTGTGTGTATAAAGTGTATTTGATAGGCTCAGGCATTGAGTGCCGTGCTACGTGTACAACAGAACGGAAAAATCGGGTAGTCAACGTTACTTGTATCCAAGGTAACACACTTAAACAACATGTACAATCATTTTATAGTAAATGTACAAACAGTCGAAAATTAACAGAATAAATTCAAAATACGTTTGTCATGCCATCTTCACAAACACGCACAAGCAGCCTTATAAAGTAACGTCCTTACATTTTGTGATTGTATTTATTACATTTAATCGATATATTTCAATATACATCTGTTTGTATTCAATAACTTTGTTGATATTTTGAAATAATACATTGATTGGTCCACCACAGTACTATGAGATTTTCCCTGACTAATTCATCGCTCTGTGCTAATTGATTATGACTACTTAAACCAATGTGTACAAATACCAGGTTCTATGTTGCTTTTGACTTACTATCTGAGTGAAATCTCTACATTTAATTTTAACGCCTGTTAATCTATACAGTTTTTAATGGTTCGATGGAAGTGTTTCTGGTACAGTTTCGCTTCAAAAATCAAATAGAGATTTTGATTATGTTTGTGAATAGTACAATTATCTCAGGTTTTAATCAAATTGTCACAGTTCTCTTTTTAATATAAAAAGTGCTTATCATGAAGTAATAACTCTTGGTCTTTCACGTTCAATTAGAAGGATGACAAGAATTTTTTTTAGCGCGAAACTGAGTTTACTTTGGTCATTGTAGTTTACTTATGTATTAGCTGTCAGTAAACTAGTACTGCTTTGCATGTATATCATGTTTATCTGCCTTTTATTCCTGGACCATACCAGACTGGGAATACTGTTGTTTTGTTTCCGAAGTGTTATATTAGTTTCGGTTTGAAACGCTTTGTTTCTAATTACTATTCTATACATAAATACGTGTCAATCATTTTACCGTTTTTTTAAAAATTGAAACGTTTGTTTGTAAATGAATGGCCGAACCTATTAATTTTCAACGTTTTAGGTAATAAAAACACACGATGGTCCATAATCCAATTGACGATGCAGATTTAAAAGTGTCTCAACTTGACCCAAGCATACAAATTGGAGAAATTTATCAAGTTTTACGATCTTCTGGTCAATACTGTAATATCATTATTTATAAATTCAAGCTTTTTTCTTCCTGATAAATAGATCCTGCTGCTGTAATTGAAGGTCGTATAAATAACAGTGGGAATAAAGAATACTATGTTCATTATTGTAATCGTATGTTGTTTTTACTTGTCTCATTGTCACACTTATTTAGAAGACCGTCGATTAGATGAATGGGTTACATCTGAACGAATTGATTGTTCTGGAAAGTTGAAAATTCCATGTGAATCATCATCTGTTGACCAGTTAACAGATTCTACTGGACTTGATATTCGATTTACCAGAAATCAGAAACGTAAATTAGAAGAAACTTCTAAAGTTCTTCAAGTAAGTAATAAATTGTTAGTTTATATATATAACAACTAAATGAAGGATAAGCTGAAGTATAGGGCACAAGGCAAGGATGGTTGTGAATTTTCATCGACTGAGATGGTTAAGGCTTGCGTTACATATTCTCAATCACTTCCTACCGTAAAAGTCGATTCTGATTGGCTTAAAAGTAGTTTGGAAGAAAGCTAGGGACAGATGATTGTTGAGCTGAACGTTGTGGATAGGCACTACCTGTTTGTGGTGCGCAGTTAAGAGTTTATGTCAGTCAGTCAGTCAGTTGCAACGTAGAACTTCGTACGTCAGTACATAAGTTCAGGTTGCCATACCGCATTAGCACAGAGACTCAATCATCACCTCAAATCCCATAGTAGTAGAGGTAGTGAAAATATTAGCAGTAATGAAGAAGATTAGGGTTCGGAGGTTTTATTCAAGAAGTATAATTCAGTGAGATAAATTTACAAAGAGAAAGGTAGAGGTGATGACGAATTCAGATTAGAATTTCATCAAGAGTTTATGTTACGTGACATAGTTCAGGGTCGGCTACAATGCTATTAGGTTAATCATTTTCTGCCCTACTCTAAATCTCGAGTTCCAGTATCTCTTCATTTCTTCTCCAATCACATTCTAACTGTTTGTTATTATTATTGTTATTTCAGCACTTTAATTTAATTTTCTCTTATTCTCAGGAAAGTGACTCTTTGGACTCAACTACTCAAAAATTGGAACTTGAATATCAAGAAGTAAGTGGGTTTTTTTATAGAAAACAATCAATTCATATAGTTTTGTTGATTAATTTAGAACTTTTCCATAGAGTTTGCTTCTTTTACAACAAGCTTTCTTGCATTATGGGGTTGTCAACCCTGTTCAAGTGTGAAGCAGTGCTTACCGAAGACAGTGGATGAGGTTGCGCAAAACCATGGACTGATTGAGGCTAGACAGTAACACCGTTAGATACTAGCTCATTGGTCCAGAGGTTAGGTGTTCGAGTGCTAGACCGAGGGTCCTGAGTTTGAATCTTGCGAGTATCTGGATGCGTACTGCTGGTGAGTCCCATAGTGGGATGAAACGGCTGTCCAGTGCTTCCAGGTTAGAAATGGAGGTCTAACACTAGCTGATTCATGATTTCAAAAGATGATAAGCTTTTAACCATAAAATACGGTTGTTTACGTATTTTTGTCTTGCAGTAATGACAGTAATAAAAATAATTTTAGTCATAGATTTATGATATGCAAGAAAATAACTACGATAAAATACAGACAATGAATAAATGGGATTATATTCTTGACTGACAACATTCACTCTAACGAGTTCTTGAGTGAAGTGGTTTGTCTGTCGTCAAGCCATTCGATTTATATCCACAAAGTCATGGGTTCGAACTCTGCTTAAAGCCAAACATACTTATGTGCACTTGATAAATGGATTATCCTTTCTCGATTGTGTCGACTTTTTAGACTGACAGCCCTAGATGTGGAGCAGATAAAACTTACAGAATATTATCTCCAAAAGGCTGTATGTGGTCGTTCGCAAACAGCTTTTATTTTAAACTTATTCAGTTATTCCTGTAGGCAACATCGACAAACTATCAGTTTTCTCAGTGTCAACAATCACTTGTTAACATATTGCCTTGGAGTGAACATTTATGGTTTCTTCTCCAATTTTTCAAAACATATTCTCCACTTTTCCTTTTGGGGGCCCCTTACATTATCAACGAGTTAACTGAACAGCAGTTTACACTGCACTACTTTTATGTAATGGATGCATAACAGTCAGAGCTACGAAACGTAGGTTGATTTCAGGTGTTGGTTCTATACATTTTGATGTGAAGAATAATCCCTTATAATCTAGATTTGCAGCAGTCGCTAATCGTCTCAGTCTTAAAAATATTGGTAAAAGTACTTTTGGGATAAACAAAGAGTAATCATGTTTGTTAACTTAGTTGCTTACGCGTGTTACCCCTAATGGAGCATAGGTTGCCGACCGGCGAATTTATTTTCCTGATAGCATTATTTTTTAATTAGTTGGATTTCTACGGGCCGCGGTCGCTAAGCCCATGCCAAACCTTCCTTCTTTATCTGAGCTTGGGACCAGTAGTAACCCTAGAAGGGTTCCAGGTGGAGTTACGTTTGTTTACATATTGTCCAAAACATTAACCCAGAGTATCATATCTTATAAATGCTTGTCTGTTCTCTTATTCGAAAGTGCATGGAATATTTACCCTTTGTTAGTTTTTGAAACTGAATGGGCTAACTGTGGTTGGTTGGTAGGCTTTAAGATAGTTTTTGCTTAGAACTGTTCTGGTTCAACACTTAGTTTGCTCTATTGAACATATTTTGAAAACCTTATTCCTACCGTAGATTAACAATTTGCAGACAAAAGAAACACCCATTCAACGTTTTTCCGTATGCGCCACACGTACATGAGATGAGATCCTCTGTGTACCCATCGATAAATGATTAGACCTCATAGTACTTACTTACACCTTTTACCCCCAATGGAGCATAAGCCACAGATAGTATTCTCCAACCTATTCTGTCCTGGGCTTCCCTTTCCAGTTTTATCCAATTTTTGTTCATTATTCTCACATCTTCATCTATTTCTCGGCGTAATATGTTCCGTGACCTTCCTCTTTTCCTTTGACTTTGAGGGTTTAAAGTGAGGGCTCATCTTGTGAGGCAGTTGGGTGCTACTCACTTCCACCGCTTCTTTCTGATTTCCTCCTCCTCCGGGATCTGGTTTCTTCTCCCTCTCAGTAGGTTGTTGCTGATGGTGTCCCGCCAGCGAATCCGAAGTATTTAGCGTAGACAAGTGTCAATAAATACTTTTATCTTGTGGATGATGGCTTTGGTAGTTCTCCAAGTTTCCGCTCCATACAGTAGAACTATCTTGACATTTGTATTGAAAATTCCGATCCTAGTGTTTGTTTGGAGTTCCAGATGTTGTTGAATTGTAGAATTGCAACCCTAACTTTGCCGATCCGCGCCCTATCATCTGCATCAGATCCACCTTGGTTGTCAATGATGCTGCCCAGATATGTAAAGGTGTTAACGTCCTCCAAGGCATCTCCATCAAGCGTGATTTGGTTGACGCATGTTGTGTTGTATCAAAGAATCTTGCTTTTCCCTTTGCGTGTGTATGTTAAGACCTACTGCTACTGAGGCTGCTGCCACACTGATGGTCTTCTCTTGCATTTGTTATTAATAGAAGATCCATATCGTCAATCTGCATCCTGTCTGTCCACTCTATACCATGCTTCCCTCCAGATGTCGATGTCTGCATAATCTAGTCGATCACCAGCAGGAAAAGAAACGGTCAGAGTAAACAACCTTTCCTGACACTGGTTAGAATCTGTTAGTTAAATAACTGCATTATTAATACTATTTTAACTCAAACTACATTCTTGTCAGTCAGTCAGTCCATCAGTTACAACGTAGAACTTCGTACGTACGTAAGTACATCAGTTCATGTCGCCATACCACATTAGCACACACAGAGATATAATTGTCAATTCAAATCCAATAGTAGTAGTAGAGGTAGTAAAGGTATTAGAAATAATCGGAGAGGTTGTTAGGATGAGAAGATATTTATTATTCAAGAAGTATGATTTAATGAGAAAAGTTTAGAGAAAGTCAAAACTAGAGGTGTTGAAGAATCCCAAAAGACACTAGGATTTGAGAGAACACATTCTTGTAACAATTTTGCGATACTACTTTTTATTATGCTTACATTGTTTTTTCGTTTTTTTTTAGTTTACTCGTGTAAAATTTATTGATCAAATACAATTTGGCAAATATGAAATTGATACATGGTATTTTTCACCATATCCAGAAGAATGTAGACAAGTGAAAAAATTATGGATATGTGAATATTGTTTAAAATATATGAAATCTGCAGAAATATGGTTAAAACATAGAAAATATGATTGTAAAGCCAAACGACCACCGGGCAAAGAAATCTATCAGCATGATAATTTATGCGTATATGAATTAGATGGCAGTGTACATAAGGTATGTATATATTCTATGTTTTACTGTTATTACTGTTATTGGTAAAACTTCTCTCTCCTATATGGCTGTGAAACATGGCCAGTGAGAGTAGATGATATTCGTAGGTTACTGGTTTACGATCATAGGGGGTCTTCGAAGCATTGCTTGTATACCGTGGGACACTCGAGTAAGCAATGCTGTCGTTAGGAAACGGGTGCTAGGTAAGGATGGCAGATCAATAGATGAAGTAATGAAACTTCATCAGTTGAGGTGGTTGGGACATGTGTTGCGTATGGCTAACCAACGATTGCCTCGACGAGCTCTGTTTTGTAGTAGGTTGGAAGAAAGCTAGGGGCGGCCAAACCAAAACATGGCAGAAATCCATGAAATCATTGACTAGTGGACTGAGCCATGTCGGTAATTGTCGACTACCTGGTTGGGGTCCGCGAGATGATAATAATCGATGGTTAGAGACCTTGAATGACATGGCTCAAAATCGTTCGCAATGGCGCCGGTGCATTTATTCTTTGTGTTCTCTCAAATCTTAATCTTCGGGATTCTTCAACAACTCTACTTTTCTCTTTCTAAACTTTTCTCACTGAATCATACTTCTTGAATAATATCTTCTAACCGTAACCTCTCCGATTACTTCTAATTCCCTTACTATCTCTACTACTATTGGATTTGAATTGACAATTATATCTCTGTGCTGATGTGGTATGGCAACATGAACTGATGTACTTACGTACGAAGTTCTACGTTGCATATGACTGATGACTGAATTATTGGTAAAACAGATGGTTGTAATTTGTGCTACGCTATATACCAATTTTCATTGAAACTTGATGAAGGATTTGATTGTGACCAGTTTGGTCTCATTGGCTGTTATAGTAGGAGGTATGAGGGCGGATGTCACTTTTTGGCTACCCACATCGTGGAAGGGTGTTTCTTGAGGAACCTAAAATGGAAGGCAGATTAGTGTTAGTAGTCTTAAAGACCTGAGGGGGTGACTGCATAGCCCAAGGGACAACTGTTTGAGACCTTTCACTCACGGCCTTTTCATGAAAGGAGTATTAGCTCCGCTCTTAAAAGCCCTTAGTGGGCAGCCCTTACCGCCGGAGACGGAAATCCGTAAGGTAGGGTGAGGTGTAACATTTCTAGGGTCGACCTATTCACACCCCTTCCTTCGTTGTGAGATGGCAGCAGCATCGCTGCAGATGCTAGTTGTCCGAGGGAAACACCTTAATGCTATCCTACCCCTCTATAGTTAGCAGTACGATTTCGCCCTCAGACCTTGAGTAGCTGCTTTTAGTCTCATCGTTCTCCAGTCGACTTGCCTGGTATGGTAGAACCTACAGAAACGTATACTTCAGTCAATATAGCTCGGTTGGTTCATCACGATAGGCCAATCCAACCACCACATCAATGTAGCAGTCGGGATTGAGACCAATCTACCATTTTTTTAATTTGCAGATACGTTACACCTCATCTCAGTGTTATTCCTTTTAATAGTTCCATTGATATACAGTGGTTATTTTAAAAGCATGTCAACTGATATCTATCAATCAAATTTCATCCAGGTTATGAATCTGTTCATTGAAACTACTTGCTGTGGGCAATTTGACAATTGTTTTACTGTTTTTGAATACTAGACGAACTATACCACACCCATTGTGTTTGTTTGTTTGCTAACCAAAAGACGAGTCTACTGTGCAACAGTTCGCTCCGTTCTACTTTATGTCTGTGAAACGGCCTATAAGAGATGAGGATATTCGTAGGCTATTAGGATTCGATTACAAATATCTTCGACACATTGGTCATAAGTAGACGATCCTGGTGTTAGGAAACTAGTACTATGTAGGGGTGGCAAATCAATTGATGAAATAGTGAAACTTCATCAGTTGAAGTGGTTGGGACATGTGTTATGTATGCCCAACCACCGACTGCCTAGATGAGTGATGTTTTGTGGTGTAGGTATGGGCCGGGAAAGAGCTATGGGCAGTCAAACCAATACATGGCACAAATCCATGAAGTCATTGACAAGTGGACTGAGTCATGTTGGTAGATGAAGAAGACTACCTGGTTGGGATCCGCAAGACAATGGTAACCGAGGGGTTAGAGATTTTGAAAGATATGGATCAAAATCGTTTATGTTCTCTTAAATCCTAATCTTCTAAATTCTTCATGATCGTTTTCTATTTTATATAATCGATTCCTCTGGGGTAAACATATTGAATGGTATATTCGAGTGTTAATCTTTCTGACTACTTCAAGACTGGGTTGCATCGTCACCTGAACTAGTGATAGGGAGTGAAGTAGTCGAGCGTGTTGATCACTTCACTAATCTGGAGAGTCTCGTCAGTGCTGATAGCCTGGTGACTGACGAAATCTCAACTCGGATACAGAAAGCTCGATTGGCTTTTGCCAACCTGCGTCACTTATGGCGTAGGCGAGATATCCGTTCGCTGACCAAAGGACGAGTGTACTGCGCAGCAGTTCGCTCCGTTCTCCTATATGGATGCGAAATATGGCCGGTAAGAGGTGAGGATATTTGTAGGCTATTAGTATTCGATTATAGATGTCTTCGAAGCATTGTTCGTGTATCAAGGGACAATTGAGCAAGCAATGCTTGTGTTAGTAAACGAGTGCTATGTAGCAATGACAAATTAATTGATAAAGCAGTGAATCTTCATCAGTTGAGATGGTTTGGACATGTGTTACGAATGCCTAACCACCGACTGCCTCAGTGGGTGATGTTTTACTGGTGAGGAATAGGCGGTAAGAAAGCTAGGGGCAGCCAGACCAAAACATGGCAGAAATCCATGAAGTCACTGGCAAGTGGACTAATCATTTACGTTGGTAAATGTAGACTAACTGCTTGAAGTCCGCGAGATGATAATAACTGATGGTTAGGCACCTTGAACAACATGGATCAAAATCGTTTGCAATGACGCAGGTGCATCCATTCTCTATGTTCTCTCAAAACTTCTTGAACCGTGATCTTTCAGATTACGGCTAATACTTCTACTACCTCAACTACTACAGGATTTGAATTGACAATTACGTCTCTGTGTACTAATGTGTCATGGCAACTTGAACTGATGTACGTACGTACGTCCACATACGAAAGTTGTATGTTGTAGCTGACTCAATCTGACTGACTAAATCATTATAAACCATCTTTTACATATAAATAAATCTTGTGTTACTTTACTTGTTTTACCATAGATTGTATAACTGTTTTTCCATTTCTCTGTGTTTTTTTGTCTCTCCCCTTTTCTCTAGCTTTATTGTCAAAATTTATGTCTATTGGCTAAATTATTTTTAGATCATAAAACATTGTATTATAATGTTTCACCATTTATATTTTATATTCTATGTGAAATACACAATGATGGCATACATCTTGTTGGTTATTTTTCTAAGGTAATAAAAATAATAATTTGTCATTCCGTTTATTTGTTTTTTTAATCGCAATTATTGTATATTAATGTTATCCATTAATCATTGTTAGACCACACCACTATTAGAGACCCACAAGCACTGAAAGATGGACATTTCTTCATGGTGTATGGGACTATTCATCATCAGTGGCAGTGTGCATCCACAACTCCTGCTACTACTGACAGGATTCGAACCTAGGACCTTTGGTCATGCGCGCACGAACACCTAACCTCGGGTGGTAGTGGTGGTGGTGGTCTAACAATGATTGATCGATGATTTCAATGTGTAGAAAACACTTATCTTCATAACTCGAATTGAAAATATTGTGATTATGATTATTTTTTATGATAAAAGTTTGATGGAATGAATTGATTCTTAATTTCACGGTCAATTATAGGACAATATTGAATGGTTTTGAAATGGTGGAGATGTAGTGTGTCGATTTACTGCGTGTTCTTAATGTTCGTGATTAGCTCGCTCAGTCAGTCGTTACTAAATAGCGTTTGACGGTTTATAAATCAGAAGGTGAACTCGTAGTGATGAATACGTTTATTTTTGGACACACCATAAAGCGAAGTGGAGAAGGCTAATGAACCAACTTCCAGGATTACAATGCAAACGAATGGGCGAAGGAAGCAAATGGACAGGAGAAGCGCACTGGAGAAGGTTAATGAGCTAACTCCAAGAGATAGAGGGTGACTAAGAATATATAGTCAGACAAATATAAGACAGACATGCAACAAGCGAAACATGAATAAAAGCGACGAATGACTGACAAGGTCAAATGACAAGTGGGACATTTCATGTGAGCTCATACAAACTGGACAATAATAATAAGAACGAATGGTACATATAAATTGTTGCAATACAAATGGCTTGGTTAAATAAATTAGTCGAAAGGGCTTAACCAAGTTAGATATAAGCGAACTGGAATATATGTGGAGGCACTGCAGAAAAAATGTTTGTAGCTTAGGTGGATAATTGTGTGATGGAGTTCAGGTTCTCTTTGAGCTGGATTTTTTTGGTTGTGGAGCTTAGATTGTTCTTCTACTGGACTACATCATCTATCTGAAGTTTATGCTGATGATGCTGTTGTTCAGAAGAAGAACAATGAAAGCTCTACATCTAAAATCACCCAGTTCGAAGAGAACGAAACTCCATTACAAACATTGAGTGGTGTGTGAAATGTTGTTAAGCAATCGAAGATAACTAGTTCAGTTAACTGGATCTTGTGTTGTCACTAATCGACTTATCCAAATCGATTTGACTCCCTTTATAAGTAGGTTAATTATGTTCACGGAGTTTTGTGGTTGTGCTTCGATTGAAATATGATTTAACATCGGATTAAGCAGTGAATGTAGCTATTTACATGTGGCCAATCTGCCCTTTTTTTAAAAGCAGAAACTTAAGGTCTTAAGGCGAAGTCATACTGCTGACTGTAGAAGGGTGTGGCAGCAGTAAGTTGTTTTCCTTGGAGAACCAGCATCTGCAGCGATGCTACTGCCTTCTCACAAGGAAGGAGACGGTTAGAAAAGGTTGACCCTAAAAATTTTAAACCTCACCTTACCCCACAGATTTCCCTCTCCGGTGCTAAGGCCATTTGAAGTAAGGAGCTAACACTTTAAAAACTTCCTACAAAAGGGCCGTATGTAACCGGCCTCAATATCTTCGAACCCTCATCCTCTCCATTATCGCTAATACTTCTACTATTTCTCCTACTATGGGATTTGAATTGACAATTGCGTCTCTGTATGCTAATGTGGTCTGGCAACGTACAAAGTTCCACATTGTAACTGACTGATATATATTTTAATATTGATAAAATTGTACTAAGTGATTCCTTATTTTTTTCGGAATTTTTTTTTTCGTTAAGGAAAAAGTATCTGCTGATAATTATAATCTTGCTTGTATCTTAACTTTACCACCATTTCAACGTCGTGGATATGGTCATTTTTTAATCAGTCTGAGTGAGTTACTCATATAGTTATACTTTAATTGTTGTACTATTTTTCATTCAGTATAATTGAATGAATTCTCCTAAGAAAATATTCATTTTCTGTAACTATAAATGAATCATGTCCAGTTGCAGCGCTAAAAGCGCTCTGGTACAGTCGGGAATGTGAAGAGTCTACTCTCTCTCTCTTTCGAAATGTTCAAAATGGCTACTTACTTCCCTCGTGGCGGAGGTGTTGTTTACGAAATCGGAAGGATGAATAGTGAATGTGCGACCATGGCTAAAACCTGACTCATGGGTACGGAGGATCCACCTATGGGAGTTTAAAAGCCTTGATTCCAAACCGATGTTGTACATAGGATCTAATAGCTCGAAGGGACAAGTGGTGTATGCACGTACTGTCGGTCACCGGCTATCACAGGATTGCATCTGGTTAAGTTACTCCACTGTCTTGTGGATTAGACTTTTAGATCCAAGGTTCGGGATGTGGCTCCCGTTAGAAAACCACTTGTTTTGATTTTGGGCCTCTGGGCATTTTCTCAGTTTACTCAAAACTCAATAATTTATGTGGCCCATGAAATGCTCAGATGCCTATTTGTATCAATGTTTATGTCAGTCAGTCAATCAGTTACAACGTAGAACTTTGGACGTACATACATCAGTTCAATTAAGACACAGACGCAACTATCAATTTAAATCCCATAGTGGTAGAGACAGCAAAAGTATTAGCGATAATGGAGAAGATTAGGGTTCGAAGAGATTATTCAAGAAGTATAGTCCAGTATAATAACTTTAGCAAGAGAAAGATAAAAGTGATGACGAATTCAGGAGAACATAAAGAGTGGATGCACCTACGCCATTGCAAACCATTTTGAGCCATGTCTGATCTTACCAACATGACTGAATCCAGTTGTCAGTGACACTTCATGGGTTTGTGCCATATTTTGGTTTGGCCGCCCCTACAATGTTGGTGTGCTTGAATAAAAAAAATAAAAAAACTAGTTTTTACCAAATTGCTTCTCTCTCTTAGTCACAACGTTTTTAACATTGCAACTATTTGCTTTAAAATGTCTGCTTACATCCATGACCTTATCAAAGATCGTGCCTCTTCAGAAGATCCCTTGACAAACACTTAAGTTTTCGATTACTGATTTGGTTAAGTCATGATTTGTATTTTTACTTTAAATCGGTTCACAATATTATGAGCTACCTCACTTACAATATCATTCAACCTTATTGTTTGTAGCTAATTCTGCTAGAACTCTGAGAATCATGTTTCGAAATTATTTATTATTACGATCGGGAACTCGCAGGGAATGTGGAATTTTATAGAGTCTACTCCCCTGGGATAACTTTACTTAAAGACACGTTGGTTAATGACTAAGCACTGGAGATCCATTTTATCTTAGTATGAGACTTTTGTAGTATGTACATCCATCACCCCACTCTGAATCGACCACATTCGAGGACGAAACAGATGTTAAATGGGCCACTACGTTTTGATTGATAATCTCTTTCTGTTTGTCCCGACCTTAGCTGCTACCTTGACGTGGTGGTTGGGCTTGCCTATCGTGATGACCCAACCGAGCTATACTGGATGGAACATATGTTCCTGCAGGTCCTACCATGCCAGGCAGGTCGATTGGAGTACCGATGAGGATTATAAACAGCTAACCCAAGGTCTGAGGACAAAGTCTTACTGCTGACTAACTGTGGAGGGGTGTGACAGCAGTAAGGTGTTTCCCTCGGACAACCAGCATCTGCAGCGATGCTGCCTTCTCACAAGGAAGGAAGAGTTAGAAAATGTCGACCCTAAAAATGTCACACCTCACCCTACCTCACGGATTTCCGTCTCCTTGGGTAAGGGTGCCCACTAAGGGCCTTTAAGAACGGAGCTAATCCTCAAAAAAACCTTTCATAAAAAGGCTGTGCGTGACTGGCCTCAAGCAGTTGTCTGTGGAACTCTGCGGTCGCGCTCCCAGGTCTCCAAGACCAACATTAATCTATCTTCCTTTTCAGGTCCCTCAAGAAACAACGGTGTTGTGGGCAGCCGGGTAGTAGTGACAACCTCCCTCATACCCGTAACAGCACACAAGAGACCAATCTGGTCGAAATCTTTCTGTTTGTCATAGTATTTTCAAGTGTCAATGTATGCGTTCAATGTTCATCTCTTTCTTTTTTTTTTTAGTTTGTCTGTACAATTTTAGTGATTGATTTTGTTTTGTGTTTATTTTTGTGGTTCAGGTTATGAATTAGCTAAAATTGAACAAATGGTTGGTACACCAGAGAAACCACTATCGGATTTAGGACGTTTAAGTTATCATAGTTATTGGGAAAAAGTGATATTGAATTTTCTGTTAGAAAATCCTAATTGTACCATAAATGAATTAAGGTAAGAAGATTTATACGCTTTGGTTTTTTAAAAGAGAGTAATGTAGTGTAGAGTGGGTTTATGTTGCGGCGTTCGAATAAAATGATCATATAGTTTTATTTTTTTTGGGGGGGGGGTTGTTTACATTGTCACTTGTTTGTTTAGTGTATGTATGTATGTTTGTTTGTGGCTTTTAGAGTGACTTTTAGAGGTTATGCGTTCGCGCAACACCGAATGTCCTGAGTTCGATTCCTGCCGGTGGCGGGAATCGTGGATGATCACCGTTGACGAGTAGGTAGGTACTAGGTAGAGATGGCAGATCAATGGATCGATTTGAAGTGATTGGGACATGTGTTACATCTACCCAACCACTGACTGCCTCGACGAGCGATATTTTCTGGTATAGGAATGGGGGAGTCTCATCAGTGCTGATGACTCGGTGACTGAGGAAATCTCAGTACGGATACAGAAAGCTCGATCGGCTTTTGCCAACCTGTGTCACTTATGGCGTAGGCGAGATATCCGTTTGCTGACTAAAGGACGAGTGTACTGTGCAGTAGTTCGCTCCGTCTTACTTTATGGCTGTGAAACATGGCCAGTGAGAGTAGAAGATATTCGTAGGTTACTGGTTTTCAATCATAGGTGTATCCGAAGCATTGCTCGTATATCGTGGGACACCCGAGTGAGCAACGGTGTTGTTAGAAAACGGGTGCTAGGTAAGAATGGTAGATCAATAGATGAAGTAATGAAACTTCATCAGTTGAGGAGGTTGGGACATGTGATGCGTATGCCTAACCACCGACTGCCTCGTCGAGCTTTGTTTTGTAGTGTAGGAATAGGTTGGAAGAAAGTTAGGGGTGGTCAAACCAAAACATGGCACAAACCCACGAAGTCGCTGACAAGTGGACTGAGCCATGTTGGTAACTGTAGATTACCTCATCGGGGTCTGCGAGATGATAGTAACCGGTGGTTAGAGACTTTGAATAACATGGCTCAAAATCCTTTTAAATGGTGCAGGTGCATCCATTCTATGTGTCTTCACAAATTCTAATCTTCTGAATTTCTCATCGCCTTTATCTTTCTCTTTTTAAATTTATTTCATTGAATTATACCTCTTGAATAATTTCTTTGGACCATAATCTTCTTCTTTACTGCCGATACTTCTACTACATTTACCACCATGGGATTTGATTAAACCGTTCGATCTGTGTGTGCTAATGTGGTATGGCAATTTGAATTCTTGTACGTACGCATGAAGTTCTGCGTTGCATCTAACTGACTGTTGCCGAGTCTCATGCCAGAACAAAACGATCATCCAGTGCTTCCAGGTTTCCTGATGCTGGTTTAATATTGATTGGTTTCAAAGAATATGACTTTATTTCTCAAATTTGACGAACCCAATAATCAGAACATGAATAAAAGTCTCATACACTCTTCAGCAGTGTTATTCAACTAGAGATCTTCAGGTTTATTCGTGTCTAGATAACCTTTAGACCAGTGAGTCGCAGTCAGGTGGTCCCCAGTTTCATGTAAAATTGGTTAGATTTTTACATAGCTTCTTCATACAGACTATATTCTTATTCTTTAAAAAAATTAAGACTTACTTACTTACTTACGCCTGTTACCCCTAATGAAGCATAGGCAGCCAACCAGTATTCTCCAACCTACTCTATCCTGGGCTTTCCTTTCTACTTTTGTCCAAAAACTGTTCATTCTTCTCATGTCTGACTCCATTTCTCGACGTGATGTGTTGCTTGGCCTTCATCTTTTCCTTTGACCTTGAGGATTTCAAGTGAGATCTTGTCATGTGACACAGTTGGATGCTTTGCGCAATGTGTGTGTACTATCCACCAACTCTAGCGCTTCTTCCTGATTTCCTCCTCCATTGGAATCTAGTTTTTTTCTCTCCCACATAATAAAACCTGACCCTTTTCAGTCCTTAACATTAACAATGGAAAAATGCAAATCAGTATAATATAAATACCTTCAAGTGATTAGAAACCGAACACTCCAACCGCTAGACACCACCTTTGTGTGGTGAAGGAGAACACAGGTGAGGGCAACCGAATTGTATTTAACGAAAATTACAGAGTTACTCGGTAAAATAGGAAAACCATATCGTAACCGTTAATTTGCAAATCTTCAATCCATTGTCTGACATTTATTTCACTATTCATGCGTTTCATGCAAATTCCATTGTGTTCCCACTCTTTCTTTCTTGATCTTCCCCCATCTTCTGCTGCCAGACATGACGTTTTTACTCACGTCATATACTACTTATAAGTAGCGCGCACCACACTTGCACCAGCTTTCCATGTTTTTTTAAAAAGAAAATTTATTAAAACATTTGCACAAAGGGGTTACGTAAATAATTAAGTGGCCCACAAATTATTGGATTGGTGATTGAACTTAGTGCTAAAACCAAAGTATTAGGTTTTCTTAGGGCTGTCCACACTCCGAGTCGTTGACTCAACAGTCTGATCCACAATGCAGTGGAGCAACGTTAGGTGAAATGTAGTTCTATGGTAGAGTCGGTGATCAACAGAATGCTCATACTACGCACTTTTTTCCTTCAAGCTATTAAAGCTTATTGTACACTAGTGGTTTGGAATCAGGGTTTCTCAACTCCCGTTGGCGCTGGATGCAGGTCCCATTGTCAAATACAAATACCTAAACTTCTCTTTTACATGGCCGACTTAAAAAAGAAATCAGGTTTAATTTTCGAAATAAAAACAATTTGTTTCTACCATTTTTAGGTTGTATTCGTTGGAAATTCAACTTTTTTTGTGTAATCATTGAAAACTACAGTTGTTAGGACAGGATTTTCTGCGCTTTTCAGTAGTGAATAATACGCACACAAAGTCTAGCGTTCCACACTTCACTAAACGTACTCTGGTTTAACGAAACCCGTAATATCGTTAGCTCTTACTGCTAGAGTATGACTCCTATCCAAATGTATGATAAATAATAGTTAGACATTCACACCGTTGGATGCCGGCCGGCTCAGTGGTCAAGCATTCGTGCGTAGTACCGAATATCCTGGGTTCGATTCCCTCGAGCGATGGTCGTGGGTGTGCTCACTGCTGAAGAGTCCCATACTAAGACGAAACGGCTTCCTAGTTTCTAATAACGGCAGTCTAACACCAATCTCTATGATACTTGCTGAGATGAATTAACCAAATACTCTGGTAGTTTTTAATGACAAGATAACTTCTTATTTTTTGGTTTTCTTTAGTACAAAAACATGCATTGCTATTGATGATATTGTTTGGACATTGAAAAATCATTCAACTATCAATTATTGGCAATATGATCATCAAATCTGTTTACATCGTGATACCATTGAACAATATTTAAATCAATTCCATGACCGATCGATAAAATCGTCTTGTTCAAATAGTAGTAACAATAATAATAATATCAAACATCGTAAATCAATGCCTAAAAATTCTATTGTCCTTGATGTTAGTCGATTGAAATGGGATCCACCAGTGAAAACATCAATGCAGAATAATAAGAAAGAAGTTCATTGTAATTAATGAATTGCATGGTAGATTCTTTTTTTTTTGTATAAAAATTCTGACTACTATTATCGAGATTGTTAGTAGTAGTGAGATTATTCTTGTTAAATTTTTTTTTCAAATGACTAATATTCATAACAGTTCATGAGGTATATTTTTTTCTTAATATTTCAATGTATGTAAATACTTTTTTTTTTGATGTTCTTATGATTTTGTGATTATCGTTCTTGTTTTTAAAAATACAGTTTCCAAAAATTAAATCTTATTTATGTAAAAATTCGGTGATTATATTTTATTAAATGTTTTCATACAAAAAAGAAGTTTATCAATAAACTGATGTTAATCTAATCTGATTTTGATTGTCATCTAACCGTTGGAATACCGAATACATGCTGTAGGTTCGTAGTGTTGTGTTCAAGCTAGATTGCAATCGCTTCAAAACATGCGAGTATTATCAACTAGCCAGTTTTGTATTCTTCTGCTAAGCACTATTCAAAGTATAATCAACTTATAAATTTAGGCAATATCAGGGGATAAAGTCAAGTGGTCCGTATGTCATCTGACCTTACTTATTTACTTACGCATGTTACATCCAATTGAGCATAGGCTGCTCACTGGTATTCTCCAACCTACTCTGTCCTAGGCTTCGCTTTTCAGTTCTATTCAATTATCTTGTTCATTTATCTCATGTCTGTCTCCATTTGTCGGCATAATGTGTTTTCATTTGGTGTCCCATTTTTCCTTTAATCGTAAGGGCTCCAAGTGAGGGCTTGTCTTGTGGCACAGTTGAGTGCTTTCCTCAATGTGTATCCTGTCCTTTTCCAGCGCTTCTTCCTGATTTGTTCCTCTACTGGAATCTGGTTTGTTCTCTTTCGCAATAGGTTGTTGCAATTGTTGTCTGACTAGTGGACCGGAAGTAATCAGTGTAGACAACTGTGAATAAATATTTGTATTGTTCTGGATAATGGTTTTGGCATTTCTGCAAGTTTGTGCCCCATATAATAGAACTTTGTAGTCATTTGTGTTGAAAATTGTGACTTTGGTGTTTGTTGACAGTTGTTTTGAGTTTTAGATGTTAGTCATTTGTAAAAATGTGTCTCATGCTTTGCAGATCCGAGCCATAATCATCAATGATACTGCTTAGATATGTAAAGGTGTTTACGTCCTCCAAGGTATTTCCATCAAGTGTGATTTGGTTGTTGCATGTTGTGTTCTATTGGAGAATCTTGCTTTTCCTTTTGTGTGTCTTGAGACCTACCGCTGCTACACTGTTTTTTTTCTCTTGCATGTATTTTTGTGTACGACAGTACAGCCAGACGATTTTAAATAAGAGAATATTGGTTCAATAGCTAGATAACTTATTAGGAGATGAATTCTCGATGAATATATGCTTTATTACTTAGTTACTTACGCCTGTTACCCCCAATGGAGAATAGGCCGCTCACCAGTTTTCTCCAACCAACTCTGTCATGGGCTTCCCTTTCCAGTTCTGTCCAATTTTTGTTCATTCTTTTGATATCTTTCTCTATTTCTCGGCGTAATGTGTTCCTTGGCCTTCCTCTTTTCCTTTGACCTTGAGGGTCCCATGTGAGGGCTTTTCTCGTGATGCTGTTCGGTGCTTTTCGTAATGTATGTCCTATCCACTTCCAGTGCTTCTTCCTGATTTCCTCCTCCACTGGAATCTGGTTTGTTCCCTCCCACAGTTCGTTGTTGCTGATGGTGTCTGGCCAACGAATTCGAAGTATTTTGCGAAGACAACTGTTGATCAATACTTGTATCTTCTGGATGATGGCTATCCTAGTTCTCCATGTTTCCACTCCATACAGTAGAACTGTTTTGACATTTGTATTGAAAATGCTGATTTTGGTTTTGGTTGAAAGTTGTTTTGAGTTCCAGATATTTTTCAACTGTAGAAATGCAGCCCTTGCTTTTCCGATCCGTACCCTCACATCTTCATCGGATCCACCTTTCTCGTCGATGATACTGACAAGATATGTAAAGGTGTTAACTTCCTCCAAGACATCTCCATCAAGCGTGATTGATTTGTTACATATTGTGTTGCATCGTAGAATATTACTTTTTCCTTTATGTATGTTGAGACCTACTGCTGCTGCAGTGGCTGCTGCTACACTGGTCGTCTTTTCTTGCATTTGTTGTTGCGTGTGCGACCGAAGAGCCAGGTCATCTGCGAAGTCCAAATCGTCCAACTGCACCTTAGCTCTCCATTGGATACCGTGCTTCCCTCCAGATGCTGAAGTCTTCATAATCCAGTCGATTACCAGGAGAAAGAGAAAGGGTGAGAGTAAGCAACCTTGCATGACACCGGTCAGTCTTCACCTCGAAAGATTCTGCTAGCTGTCCTTCGTGTACGATTTCGCAGTTGAATCCATCATAAGAATTCCGTATGATATTAACTATCTTCTCAGGCACACCGTAGTGTCGAAGAAGTCTCCACAATGTTTTCCTATCCACGCTATCGAATGGTTTCTCGTAGTCGATGAAGTTGATGTAGAGTGGTGAGTTCCATACAATTGCTTATTCCACAATGATCCGTAATGTAACAATTTGGTCAGTATATGATCGATCCTTACGAAATCCAGCCTGCTTTATGCCAAAATATAAATAGTATTTATGTATTTTGTTACATATGAAGGTTTCAAAAACGGTCTTACTTAATAGAATAACTACAAATCAAGAATGATATTCCATTTCTGTGCTGATGTGATATGGCAACATGAACTGATGTACTTACGTACGAAGTTCTACGTTGCATCTGACTGACTGATTGAAGAATGATATTCTCTTTCCAATCGTTGTATTTTTTTCGACTTAAAAATTTGTCTACTGATTTTCTTATTCAGTAGTTTGAAAAAGTTCTTTGTCCGAAAAAAAGAGGTGACTTGAATGCTATAAATTATTTGAAAATAATTGCTAATTTAAATTAACACCATTTAGTTATTTTACTGTACTCCACCTAGTAATAAACAAAAATTAAACGAATTTAAAAGTAATAAAATTGCCAATTTTCAAACAATCTTTGTTAAAACAAAATTGAGTATATTTCTCTGAGAATATATATTTTCAAAAATTAGTTGTCGAAATAAATTAATTTTTTTTTCAATCTAATTTATAATTAAATTTCGCTGTTCGTTTTTTTGGGTTATGCAAGATTTTTTAGTACAAAGAATGTTTGTGTATTTACCACTGTTAAATAAACTCTGCCTTGAGCCCTTCTAGGGTTGCGGCCAGTCCCAAGTCAGGATATAAGATTAGGGTTGAGCATGGTGTCAGGGACCCCATTCCGTAGAAATAGAACTCGCTTGAAAAAACGCTAACCAGAAAAATATTTCGCTGATAGGAAGTCTATGTCCCATTACGGGTAACAAGCCTAAGTGAAGATTTTCGCAGATAACTACAGATGTTTGGAATGGAATTTCTAATAAAGTTACACTCAGTCATCAGATGAACAGAAAGATCACTAAATGTGTTGAATTAGATAGATTTATTAAACATGAGAAACGTTTGTTGTTTCTAGAGCAGTAAGTTTATAGATAAAGTCTGATCTAAAGTTATTTTGCATTAGTGGTTAACTTTATTCTTGTAATCACTAAAAATTGAATTAAGGTTACACGTTTGGTTACAGTATCCGTTTGAATAGTACATCCTTGCCAGCACCATTAATAGGCTTGAGGAACTGCTGACTTCTTCTTAAATCTAGACAAACCTCTTGATTGGGATATCTTAACCTGTTGCTTTAATTCCAATTGGTGAGCTATATTGAGGAAATAACATGCAACGTCCGTGTGCTTGAACTCTAATCGCTCCTGATTCTCCCTAGAACTAATTGATTTATTTATAGAGCTTATTCATCAAGGAGGACATTGCTGAATATTATCGTGGTCTTCAGTTGTCATTATTTTCCCGAATCGATATTGGTTCAACTTGACTTCGTGTTACGCCTGCACATAAACACGTCATTTTGGTATACTTGAACTATTACGAGTTTACCTAGTCGGAAAGATGAGAGCGAGGATCCGGCGACACGACATGCTACTCAAATCCGAATATCCAAACCCCCGTTGAATAAAAGAAGAAGAATTGATGTAAAGTAGAACCTGTATTCTACGAGCATCCAGAAAGTACGAGGTCCGAGTCCAGATGAGAATCAGGATCCTGAACTGCGTATCCGGGACCGAGTCCTGATCATAAAACGTTACAGATAATGCGTATTTCTACATTTTGGTCGGATAGGAAACATCATCAAAGTCTGTGACATTGACAGTTAACACGACCAATAGGAAGCAACATTTGAAGTGACACTGATAGTCAGGACAACCAATAAGAGACAACATTGGAGTACGTGACAATGATATCTAGGATGACCATAAAATTGATCAGTAGGAATTAACCAATTATTCTGCTGGGATATTGGATGAATATCTTAACACTTAGACGCTTCTGTGATCAGTGTTTAGGATTTTTGATAAATACAACTTGTTGTATGTCAGACAAATAAGCACTGCTTACTTTTACAATAGATGATTTCTATGACTTAGCTCAACCTAGAACCCTTCTTGGGTTACTGCTAATTCAAAGCTTGGATAAAGCAGGAGGGTTGGGCATTAGACTAGTAACCCCGATCGCGTAGAAAACAACCTTGCTAAGAGTATCCTGACTAGAATTCATCATTTATGGGAATTGTAGCACAATATGTGTTTATCTTAGCAAATTTATGCTTTAAACCAGTTGAAAGTATCGTCTAACAGATTCAGTTATTAGTTCTAATCATGAATTTTCTGTGGATAATTTTGATTACGTGCTTTGAAATTTGGCTCAGTCGACAGACAATTTATACTGTCTGGTTTATTTATGTACTATTTTTACTGACAACTAACAAGAGTGTATCAAATTTCAAACTGTCAAGCCTTAGTGTAAAATTATAACCACTGATTGAATATGAAATAGCCAACAGTTCCATAGAAGCACAAGAAGGATAATTAAAGCATCCATTAACTCCACCTGGAGCACCTCTGAGGCTGCTACCGATCCTAAGCCCGGATAAATGAGGAGGGTTGGACATAAGGTTGGCGACCCCATCCCGTAGAAAACTATCTCGCTAAAAAAACGCTAACCAAAAAGATTAAAATTAAGAGGTTGGGAAATAAAATGAATGTCATCCAGTGTATTACACCTACAGATGATAACAACGAGACATCCCAACAACGGATTCGACTATTGTGATTGGATACTTAGAACTCCAAGGTGCTTTAGTATGGACAACACTATGAA